TCCACCGTGGGTACCCGTTACCATGATTGGCACATCACTGTCACAGTCTTCAGCATCACAGCAACCACGAGTTACCTCTGTACAGCAATGCACAGACCAGTGCTATACCACCTAGAAGAATGTTTGACAGGAAAACAATTTGAACCCGGCCGAGGGCCATTTTGATTACTTGTGCATATTCTTGGCCATCCTCCTTGAACACCAGCTCTCTTTTCTCAGATTCATTTTCATTCTGACCTCTGCGTCTATTTTTACCTCCTTTGCCTTTATTCCTAGGCATGGCGGTGGATGCGGCCTTGTGGCATCTCTGACCTCCTTCTGGGCGGCGGTGGTGGCGGTGGCGATGGTGGTGGCAGCGATTCCTCCAAGATGAGAAAGCGGTGAGTGAGGTGAACACGCAGGACTAGATGCAGACACGGGAGGACAGGCGGTGAGCCTCACGACCGCACTGTAACGAGATCTTGCTCCTACGCTTGGCTAAAAGTGTTCCTTTTTGCCACATACTCTCCAACATTTATTACTTGCTGTCCTGTTAAACTTTGCCACTGCTACAGGAGTGAGATGGTACCTCATTGTGGTTTTGATTGGTATCTCTCTTACTGCCATTGATTTGGAGCATTTCTTCCTGTGTCTGCTTGTCATTCAATATCTCCCTCTGTGAAAAATCTTTCCATGTCCATGTATGGTACATTCACTCAGTGGAATATTATGCAGCACACAGGAGCAATGATTGTGTAAATTATTACCTAACTTGGGAGGGACTGGAGAGCATTTTGCTGAGTGAACTGACTCAGTCCCACAAGGACAAATATTGTATAAAACCATTATTATAGAATGAGTATAAGGACCCAAGGGAGGGGGGTGGAAGCAGAGGGATGAGGATGTGCAGGGGGAGAGGAGATTAATCATGAGGCTGTACAATTTGATGGGTGGGAGTGAGGGAAATTGGAAGAATCTGTTCTGAAAAACAATGTATTTGAATTTTGTAAATAAACTAGTATAACAATAAAAAAACAGCAACAAATGAGTGGATAAACAATATGTGGACCATACCATATTCAGTCATAAAGAGAAATGAAGTTCTGGGGTATTTCATACTATTACTGAACCAGGAAAAAATGTCACACTCAAAAATTAGTTGCAAAAGGCAAATACTGTATGTTCTCCACTGCTTCAAAGAAGCAAATATATAGAAACCATAGATCACTAGTAGTTACCAAAAGGAAAAGGAGAATTTATGCTTAGGAGGGTACTGAGTTTATCTTGATAGTGGTGTAGTGATTTGGAAAAGGACTGTGAAAATGATTGTGTAACTTGCAGGATATGGTCAATGTTATGGAGCCAAAGATGAAGAAATTGTTCAGATGAAACATGTTTTGTTATGTATTATCTTTCAACACAATAAAAGTAAAGCAAATCCTAAAAAAAAAAAAAAAGGATAGACATGAGAGGTTGAGGGGAAAAGAGAAGGGACAGATAATAAATACTATGTTGGAACAGAAGAGGAAAAGAACTAACAAAGAGAAATATATGATTAGACAGTATATGAATAACTATCTGGAATAAGAGGTGTATTGCAAAGTGGACGGAGGAGAGAGGGAAATGTGCAACAATGAATGACTGAAACCAAAAAACAATAAAATAAAAACTAAGGTGCCCCTGACCAAGTCATGGTCTTCTCAACGGCTCGCTATGCATCTGAGAGGTGGATAATCACTAAGGATAACAGAAAAATAAATGATGCCCTTGAATTTTGGTGCTGGAGAAGACTGAAGAGACCATGGACTCCCAAGAAAACAAACAGGTCTGTCCTAGAGAAGCTGAAATCAGGTTGCACCTTGAGGCAAGGATTTTGCCATCTCACATACTCTGGGTATGCCGTCAGGAGGGGCTAGTACTTGGAGGACATTATGCTTGGAAGTTGAGAAACAACAGTGCGGGAGAAGGTGATCCTGGGTGAGATGGACTGATACAATAACTGCAGCAGTGGGGTGTCGGAGATGGTAAAGTTGGCTCAATATAGCGCAAAGTTCAGAGTCCTCGTTCATATCACCTCAATGAGTCAGCTGACTCAACAGCACAAAACAACAAACTGGGTCAGAACCAACTCCCTAACACACACAACAGGATTATCAGTAGATCCAAAGACAGCGTGGAAATTTTTATTTGCAGGACTAAAACTTTACAAACTCTATTAAAATATTCTGAGGTAAGATGGCACAACCTGCCAAACAACCATGCACTTTTACTTTGGAACACCCATCAATCGCACTAACAATTAATGCTCTGACATGTGTCTCTTATTGAGAGCATGGGCTCCATGAAGTCAAAGCCCGCATTTGTTTTGTTTATTGCATTTGTTTTAGCGCGAAGCTCAGTGCCTGCCTCTCTCAATCAGCCTTTCCCAGCTGAAGAGATGAGAGCAATTTTGCTATTTAGAGAAGCTGTTATTCAGAAAAAACAGTCCAAGAGAAATGCGGTCTATCCAATCCACCAGGTGTCTAAGTTCTATTCTTAGATGAAGTTGCGTAAGAAATTTTTAGCCCATTTAACTTGATTCTTCATGGAGTCATCTTCCTAGAGTTACACAGCCTGACTTTTCCAAAATTGTTATTGACACAGCCTATTTTTACTATTTACAATTTTTATATTATTATCATACCATTGTTTATGCAAGATCTCAACAAAAATCTAAGGGTTTCATGAAAGGTAGAAGAGGAAAGGAAGTTCTTTATCTTGAAGAAGTAGCATATCTTTTTCTTTCTGATGTTATTGTTGGGTGTTATTGTTCAAGTCAAAACCAACTCATAGCTGACCCTCGAGCAGGTTTGTTAGTTTGTTGTTTTGTTTGTTTTTTTAACAAGTGAACATTTATTACAGTTATAAAGTGCCACAGGGTCAATTTCAATTCATCAAGGCGATAGTTGTGAAACTCAGGCAAGTGCTGTGTCTTCACACAATCATTACTGTGTTTAAATTCATTTTGGGGACCACTTTGTGAATCCCACGAGCAGGTTTTCAGAGGTTATAAATCACAGAGAAGGAGATTACTCATCAACTACCTGACTTTCAGCTGGCAGAGCAAGCATGACAACTCCCTTTTTTTCTGACAAAATTCTAATTGCCACTTTCCTATTTTGTCCTGGCCACCAAATAAGTAAGATGGGCAGTTCAAACCTGCCAGCTGTTCTGTGGAAGAAAGATGGGTCTCCTCTCATGTGATTTACTGCCTCTGAAAATCTGCTGGAGGGTCAGCTACGGGTCAGTTCTGGCTCAATGGTGCACAATAACAACCACTCCCACCAAATAAATAGTGATAAATAAGTAACAGATAATTCATTAGATTGAAATAAAATATGTGTGAAAGAGAACAAATCTATTCTCTTCCACATTGTATGTATGTAATTGCTATTGTTATTTTTTTTCTATATTTTATTAATTTTCATAAACATTTACAGAGACTTTGGGTTTCCATTCATTCATTGTTGCACTATTCTCTCTACCCTCCTCCCAGTTTGTTCTTGTCCAAATGCCACAGTGCTTGTCAAAGCCAGTTCTGATTAATCTTCTTTGTCAGTGTGTCCTTTGTCATTCCCTGTCACTCCTCCCTGAGAGAGACTTCACCCTGAGTCATAAGGAAAAGGGGATGGCGTATTCTCTTAGCTACTTCCTGCTGAAAAGGGACGCTGTGGGTTTCAGGGTGAAGATCTTCTCTCACTACTCTAAAGGGCCCCTTTGGCAGTAGGAAACACATAGACTATTATGGAGATTGATTTTGGAATTTAGATGCACTCTTTGCTGCTGTTATTGGCAGGTGTTGTTAAGTCAAATACAATGCACAGCAACCCTATGAACCACAGATCTGAATCCTGTCTTATCCTGCATCATCCTCACAATCGCTGACACATCTGAGCCCACTGCTGCAGTCACTATGTCAATCTACCTGGTTGAGGGGCTTCCTCTTCTTTGTCATCCCTCTGCCTTCCCAAGCATGATGTCCCTCTCCAAGGAATAGCCTATGTTAGCAACATGCCATCAAGTCACTTCTGACTCACAGCAACCCCACATGTACAAAGAACTGCTCCAAAGGGTTTTCAATTCAGTCACCTTTTTTAAAAAAAATTTTATTTTATTAATTTTAATGAACATTTACAGAGATTTTAGATTTCCATTCATTCACTGTTGCACTATTTTCTCTACCCGCCCACCAGTTCGTTCCTCTCTTTTTTTTTCCTGGAAAGTCTGTTTTAATTGTCTCATTGCCACAGAATTCAGTGAAGAAATTCTTAGGCAATTTAAAGGGGCTTCTGTAGAGGCCTTTTATCTACTAGTAAAATGCTTAAACAGTGTGCCACCTAGGGACTCGTACTGTCCAAATGAGGAAGCAAATAATCTAAACTTGCATTTTAATCATAACCAAACACTCTAAGAGAATGAGTTGCTGGATCTGGGGCTTTGGGACCATAGTCTCAGCAGGTATCGTGGTCAGAGGCTCTAACATGGTCTATAAAGACAATGCTCTATACCCTGTTTCAATGAGCAGCAAATAAGGTCTTACAAGCTCGTGAGTGAGCAGCCATCTAAAGCACAACTCCTGGTCTTCTTGTCCTGAATAAAGAAGAGTGAAGAAAAGTAGTAAGTGAGCTGAAAAAATTTGTCTAAAGAACTAACGTACTATGTAAATCTCAGCAGCCATGACCCTGAGACCAGGCTGAGAACTAGCTGGTGCCCTGCTACCGCTGCTGACCTTTCTAAATAGGATCACAGCAAAAGATCCTGGATACAGTGAAACAAAACTCAAAAACACTGTATGGTGGGAAGGCCAGGCTGCAGGCTTTCCTCACGAGATGCCATAAGTAAGACATAGGTTTGCCAGCCTTACATCCAAAGAGCACTAGGGTTGGACTTCCTCCAAGACATAGCTATTCTTCGACAAAACTGCTTAAGACATTCTCAGCCCCATTAGCTCAGTCCTTCACGGAGTCATCTTCCTGGAGTTGCACAGCCTCAATTTTTCAAAAACCCATTATAGAAAACAGTCATATGGAGTTGGAAGAGGATATAAGGGTTAATGAAAATGAGAGTTACAGAGAGGATGTAGGGAAAGTGATAGCTCTGAGCTGTGGTGTTGGAAAAGAGTTTTGAACATACCTTGGACTGCCAAGGGAACTAACAGGTCTGTCCTAGACAGGGTGAAACCAAGCTGTTCCTTGGAGGCAAGGATTTTGAGACTCGTCTCACATACTTTGGGCATGTGGCCGGCCAGTAGGAATCAGTCGT